AACTTCTCAAAATTTCTGTTGCTGTATCTTAACCTTACTTCCTCTAATTCAGACAACGACAACCACAGACATTCCTTATTTAATGACCAAGTTCTGGTCCCGCAACAAGGTTTTTAGGTGACTTGGTCACTAAATGATGAATTATATATAGAATGCACATTACAACATTCAGAACAAAGAAATGGTCAAAGAAAATTCCAACTTGATAACTTTGCTTTTATTTGCATAAATCTTATGTGCAGTACTGTAATATGTAACAACACAAAACTACAGTACGGCACTATACAATACAGTCATCAAAAACTACATTACTGTATATACAAGGTATATTGTACCAAAAAAGACGCTGTGGATGTATCAAGATCCACAGAAATGTACAAAAAAATAAAAAAGCACAAGTCATAAGTTCAAGCAACAAGTTATAAGTCTGGACAGTTGTTAAACAGGGAGGTCATTAGACAAGGAATATCTGTAACTGACACCCCCGTCTAAGCAATGCATATATTTGAAGACTGTGATTCTCATCATTCTCATCTCCAAGTTAAGGATGTCAACTCCTTTAGACTATTTTGTACTCTAAATCTTCACAATCTTAAAAAAGTGTCCCCATTTGGTTTTTCCAACCAGCCTCCAGCAGTTGTCCCTTGGTGACCAATTCAAGAATTCTGTTACAAAGGTTAAGGGTCCGGGTGGAAGGGGTTATAGGTGCCTTCAGAATTATATAGCTCTGGATTCAAATCCTGACTCCTTCACCTACTGACTATTGGACATTCATAGTGTCTTCATCTCCAATCTGTTAAATGATCTAGAAATGGCAAGGGAAAAAACTTCCACACCAGGCTGACCAAAGAATGAGTGAGGCACATATAAATGGACAGGCAGGCCTAGCATGAGGCTACATGAAGAGGCCCCAAAACATGGGACTCTAGGTCCACTTCCCATCCTGGACACAGCATAGATGTGAATACTCACAGATGGCCCAAGTACCCTGAATCTGTCCTGGCTGGTTGCATGTCAGCTCCTGGCTGCCCTTTACCCAAGAGGGTAGGCACCGAAGACTGCTTAGCCTGAGGCAGGAGCTGCTTCAAAGGCAACAGCCAAGGCCAGGTGCAGTGAAGGTTTCAGGAACAATGTTCTGCATCCAGAAAAAACTAGCAGACTCTGCCACCTTGTGGCACTCTGGCAGATGATCCCAGCTGTCAGTCACAAAGCCCCACCCTGCCCCTCCACCTGCAATCTGGCTTGGAGAGAGGCAGGGAGGGGATTGTGATGCTTCCCCATCTGAAGGTGTCCTCCAAATCCCTACTCCCAATATGTTCTCAGCTTCACCTGCCAGCCCTGTTGCCCCCAAGCACCTAGTCTCAGGGATCCTCGGCTGACTATACCAGGATGGTTTTCTCCTTACTGGGCCAAAGAGAGGTTTAGAGGGTCTCTTTCCTACCCTAGTCACTCAGCAGCTAGCTGCAGCATGGGGTCTGCTACTTCAGTGACCAACGATATGTCAGTACTGCCTGGTGTTGGTTTTCCCGGCCCACTTTGGGATGACTTAAGAGTACATGGATCCCTTGCCCTCTAAGCCATCCCCAACCTGACTCATAAGACCTATCGGTCCCCACCTCAGCTACAGCAACGATTCATGTGAACCAGCCAAGTCTGATCATAGGATCCATCCTGGATGCCTCTCCCAGAAGCAGGGTAGGAGCAGTTTCCTCCCCCATTTCCTGTCTTGAGCTCTGAAATTCCAAGGGAGGTAAAAGGTTACTGAAAATCTAAAGTGGCTGACCATAATCCAGACTCCATGGGCTTCTAGGAAATAAAGGCGAGAAAGGCTGAGAAAGGCGGGGCTGGGACTGCCCTGAGCTTTCAAGCAAACAGGCTTTATTGTGCTGTGTGTTTGCAGCTTAGCGATCTGTGAGCTCCTCATAATTGGGTTGCTGACCTTTCAGAGCGCTCCTTTTTCTCCTGCTGGGGTAATAGAATGGGTCAGCAGGTCTATTCCGTTTTTAGTGCCCCATAAGCCTGCACCTAGTGGCTGTGGGCAGCCAGGCCCAGGGTGGGATGGGGTAACACGCCTGAGTAGCTGGATGCAGTTATGAGACTGACCTGCCACACAGCCATTCTGAGACTGGCTGATAGAATCTATTAATGTTCAAATTACCCGTGTCCCTTTCCAAATAGGTCAGAAATGCTTGGTTGCCACAATGTATAACCTAGAAAAGGTGAAAACAGCTGTAAAAGCTACAGATGACAGAGCTGAATTCAGAACTGGGAGCCCCTGTTGGAAGGAGGCAAACATTAGCCATGAACAGTGCTAAGTACTTCCAAATAAATTGCCACATTAGCTGCGAAACAGCAGCATCTTCATTTTACAAATGAATATGCTGGGACAGGATTAAGAACTAACTGTGCACACAAATGGTCTGAGTTTGAATTCTAATCCAATTATTCACTAGCAAGCAATCCTAAGCAAGTTAGCTAACTTCTTTGGGTCTGTTTTCTCATTGATAAAATAGGGATAACAATGCCTGCACTGCTGGCTTAAATAAAAATGTATATTTAGTTAAGGGTCGTCATACTGTTCTAGGTGCTAAGGAGTCACTCCACTAGCGTTAATAACGTTAATAATGATAGTTGCTGTAACTTTTAAGGCTAAACTCAAACTCATTCTCTGACTCTAAGTCTGATGCCTTGGAGGAAAGAAGCTGACTCAAAGGTTTTGAAACTGGAGTTTTGGGTGTCAGATTGATAATCTGATACAGTGCTAAGCCTAGAGGCACCTCTCGGTGCAGAAACGGCCCAGCAGGAAGTCCCCTCAAGGGTAAGATGTTTGTAAATGCAGCAGCATTTTCTCTACACTACCAGTAAAGATGGGAACCAGAAGCACTGGCAGTCACCTGGGAAAGGAATGGCCACAGAGGCAAGGCCCAGCCTACACCTCTGGAGAACCCTGGTGACCGGGGTGGGCAGTTCCACACTTCAGATGCAGCAATGCACACATTGTTGTACAAATACAACTCAGACTGCAACTCCTAATCTGCACACTACCACACACATGGCTCTCTCCTCCACCATGCCCTTTGCTTTGAAGGCTTCCATCCCTCAAAACACAGAGAACGTCTTATTTTTGTCCCTAGCCAACTTGCCCCAAAGAATTTATGATCATGCTTGACAACCAGTGAAAAGTTCAAGATGGCATTCAGCAAACGCTGTCAATTTTACTAAATTCTGAATATCTTTCAATCTAAAATCACACTCCAAAAATAACAGCAAAGTTTAGAGACAATCATCTAAAAACTGTGGAATTTTGCAGCCAGAACCCAAACAAAGCAGAACTAAGCCCAATGAGGACCCTGGTGCAGTGAAATTCCTACTACTTTGTGTCCTGGTCCTTGGTAGTCTTACAGTCTGAGCTGCACCACTAGAGACGTAGGACCTTTGAGATGCAGCTCCTAAAAGAGATGAGTTCCAATAATACTAAACATCTGGCCAAGGTTGGTGCCTTCTTCATGGGTTTTTTAAAACAAAGGGCGACCAGGCTATACCCATTTCACCCTCTCCACTCAGTTTCCCCAGGTAACTGAACACAGCGGAAGGGCTACTTACTTTCACACTATGTCCTGCTAACAAAATGCTAGACTGTCGCTCATTGGTAGAGTATTTGCCTAAGGCACAAGCCTCTGAGTTTAATCTCTAACACTACAAAAAAACAAAAAAGAATGTTAATAAGCTGACCACTTTATACATGGTTATAAAAATAGTCACTTCATTCCTACCCTTCTAGATTAGAGGAGCCTAAGACTCTAAATCAGGCAGTACAGATCACATGCATGACACAATCCAAAACTCAGAGTGCCCTGGTCCTATAGCTGTGCCCAGGCTTCCTTCCTGGGTGCCACCACTGCCCTTGATGAGCACAATGTCCTGGGGCACATCTTTTCCCCAGTAGTGAGGGAGAGAACACATGCAGGAGGTAAAGGGCAAGACGATAAGATACAGAACGAGGTACCTCATTTTCATCACAGAAAGCAATTTCCCTGACCCTGTGCAAAAAGACAAGGCTACATCTGTGGTAGAAACAAAGTTCCTATCAAGACGGCTGTCTGTTACTTAGAAGGCTGGGTGAGAGGAAATCAGGAAGTCGTGGGATCCAGGACTGTAGGCTCACCACTAGAACCACAATTCTTGGCAATAGATCCATCTGACTCCCTTACTCTCTTGGACTCACAAAGTGAAATGTTTACTTGTACCTTCTCTGTGGCAGGTGCCGGGGACTAGTGATGACCCAAGCAACAAACTCAACAGCCACAAGGCCCAACCCAGAGGCAAGAGGTCACCCTTCTCCTCTAACACCACAAGTGATATACACCATGACTCCAAGCCAAGGCCTTGACTCCTCCTTTTGTAGAAAGGCAGTAAGCCAAACTGGCTTCTTTCACATGACCACTTCAAAACAGACACAATACGACTAGTTTATTTTTAAATATTAAAATACTTTTAAGAAAGAAAAGAAGTTCCCAGAACTTGGGAGGCTGAGGCAGGAGGACTACCATGAGTTCAAAGCCAGCCTGGGCTATACAGTGAGTTCAAGGCCAGCCTGAACTGCATAGTGAGACCCTATCTCCAAAAAAAAAAAAAAAAAAGGAAAAGAAGGGATAAAGATTTTGAAAAAGGAAGGAAAAGAAGCTATTACTTCCTCAGTTAGATTAAACTACCTTCCTATCAAATACAAAGGAAAAACAAATTAGAAATTGGCTAATACTACAGAGTAAGGTTTTTCCTGTGCTTCTAGAAACTTTATAGAATTCAAGCCTTTGGGTTAATTCATTTCTTTCTCTTTTTTCTTCCTGGACCTAGTAAGTCTATTAATTTACTATAAAGTAATAAAACATCAAAAATTATCAGCTTGGAGAAATGGAAAGGCACCCTAGAAGATCCCTCTTTACAGGAACAAGCCAGTTTGTCATCCCAGAGTGAATCAGCTGAGACCAACACAGGACAGATTCATTTAATTCTTCAAGTTTAATTCACTGCTCAACATCCCCTGCAAATGTGGGGGAACCACACAAAAGTTCTTGAGGCCCAACTTTCCAAGGTTCATCCACAGGCAGCTCAGTCCATCAGAGGTCTAAAAGAAATTTCCTAACCTGAGTCAAGTATTTTGGTTTCAAATAGTCACCCAGCTCGTCCTTAGTGACCCACACATGATGGCCCTTCTTCCCAGCCTGGGAAAAGTCTCCATTTAATAGTAGTGCTTTGAAGAAGAATACTTTGGCCCCGAGGTTACTCTCTGTCCGCAATGCCTGGGGGAACTTGAACTTGTAGTGGCCACAGGGTGCATTTCCTAGGAACTTTGCTTCCATGTTGTTTTCTGAAGGAAGAAAAAAAAAAAAATTGGGAGACAAAAACACACCCTCCAGTTAATTTTAGCTCCCCAAACCACAGAATTCTCTACGAATGCCAGTTCCAGCCCTGAAATCAAAGCAATCCCTAGGAGGGAGGAGGGAGGCCACCCCTGAAAGAGTCTGCTGTCCTCTCAATCCAAATGCTTCCTGGTCCATGGAGTCCAGACTCATCAGGTCCATCCCAGTTATTGCGCTATCCCCTGAAATCAAACTGAAGTCAGCAATGCAGTTCCAGAAACGCTTTCTGGAGTGAGAGCAGCTGGCTCCTGCATACATCCTGCTCACCATCTGCTGACAATACTTGCTATCTGTATAGCAAAGTTCACCCGCCTTTCAACGGGATGTCACAAGCAAAACACAAAAAGCAACTCAGATTTGACTGCTCCAGTGTGAAAACATCACAAGCAAAGTTAAAAACTAATACGTGCAAACTGTGACTAGGGTTTAAATCCTAATTAGGCATTTCCAAAGATGGGGAAAGGGAAGATTCATTATTAAATGGCATCTGATGAACCAGCTAGTTATATGGAAAACCAGGCAGAGCCAACCTCAGTAGTATCATCACATCAAAGTGATACCACCAATGAAAGATTTAACCAAATTTCAAATTTTCAAAAACAATTTCTTCATTCTGGATAGTGGTTTCATGCAATTAACAGTTCCAAAATTCTTCTGTATTTTTAAATTTTTCATTTAAAAACATTGGGATATTTTTTGTGTCATTATTGAGTGAGGAAGGCCATTCTACACAAGACGTAAAATTCACAAACTCCCAAAATGAAATAACACGTATTTGTCTACAAAAACTTTATCTTCCTACAAGGAAATGCAAAGCACAACAAAGACAAAATGAAAAACATTTTCATCATATTCAACAAAGGAGTATCTTAAAGTAGTCTATTGAAGAGCACTTAGAAATCAAGGAAAAAAGAAAAATCAAATCCAAAAGAAAAATGACCCTATATAAACAAGAAGTTCACATGACAATATCAACAACCTATAAATACATTACATGGTATTCAACCTAACTGATAATTAAAGAACTATAAATTTAAACAACAGTAACATGTCACGGGCTCGGGATGCAGCTCAGTGGAAGAAGCTTGAGCCTAACATGCTCAAAGCCCTGGGTTCAATGCCCAACATCACAACAAACAAAATATGTCATAACAAACAATAATATGTCAAAATTGGCTTTCCTTATCTCCTCATCCACAGGTCAGGGGTCTATACTGAACACACATGACATTTTCTTGTCATTATTCCCTAAACAGGAAGTATAACAGCTACTCGTGTGACAATTACATTGTATTAAGTATAAGTAACCTAAAGATGATTTAAAGTATACAGAAGAATATATGCAGGTTATATGCCAATATTACGCCATTTTATAGATCCATAAGTGTAGAAGAGAAGGACAAAGGCCAGGAACCAATCCCTTGCACATACTGAGAAAAGATTATAGTAGTAATGTTCAAAAGTCTGACTTTTAAGGTTTGTGTGAGAGATTAAGAGAAAAAAAAATGGTACTTTCACATATATAATGCAAATATAAATTAGGGGGATATTACAAATAATTTGCCAAAATCAATTTTAACTGTACACACCCTTTTACCTAGCCAAATGTAGAACTTTATCCTCCCAAATATATTTATTTGTTCATGTAAGCCAAGAGGCGTATTCAAGATATTTCCTGCGGCTTTACTTATAAAAGCAACAGATTAAGAAAATGATAGTACCTACATATTAGGAAATAGTATGTTGGTGTTAAAAACATCTAATACCAGTCTTCATATGTGCATCTAGAAAGACATTAAAAGTTGGGGCTGGGGATTTAGCTCAGCGGCATAAGTACCTGCCTTGCAAGCAGGCGGTCGTGAGTTCGATCCCTGGTACCAATAAAAATGAAAAAGACCAAAAAAAAAAAAAGTTGTATGAGGAAAAGACATTTAACTGTGTGTATGTATATGTGTATGTGTTTATATCCTCCTATTACATACCAAAAAAGGAATTATTTATTTTTATGCTTGTATACACATAGAAAATCTCTAAGGATATACATACACCAACAAAAATTGTTAATGAAAGCTGTCTCTCAGGAAAAAAAGTAGTTTTTTTTTCCCTTGGCACTAGGAGGAACTCAAGACCTCATACTTGCCAGGCAGGCATTGTGCTACTGAGGTAAATCCCCAGACCCACAAAAAGAACTTCTTATACTATATTTGCTATCTGGAAAATTTTGACCATATACATGAATTGCTTTCCTTGTTAAATAGCATTTGATGAAAAGTTTCCACATGGTGTCGGCTCACTCATACGCAATATGAAATGTGAGCAGCGCACATCTGTGAATTATACTGAAGTATCATTTATTTATACTTTCCTGGATTTTCCAAACTTAATTCAATAATGCGTATTACTTTGCCACAAACTGGAAAAGATGAATTAAAAAATAGAAGCAAATAAAAAAGAAAAAATCAGCTCATTAAAACATGAACAAAAGATCTGAACGGCAGTTCATAAAAGAAGAAATAGTTAATAAACATATGAAAAGCAACAGAAATGTGCTAATTCCCAAAGCTGATCATTTTTACTAGCCACACAGGAAAAATCGCATCGTGCCATTTCACACATTTGGGGGTTGAGGCAACATGGCAGTCCCACACTTTCCTCAAGATGTCACCTGTTCTACACTGTCTGGGAGGACAAGCACTTATCAAAAACTCAGTGTGCCTAGTTCTGACCTATTAATCCAACCTCCAGGAATCCCAACATGCAGAAATACTGGAAATGGGGAGCCAGTGTGAAGAAAGTAACCCACTTATTTTTCTTACATGTTGCCTGAGTTTTGTCTTTACCACTTTTATTTTATATTATTACTTTAATACATTTGCAATACATATTTTTGCAATAAATCAATATATTTTATTATCTATGCATTAAATGTAAAACAAATTGTTAATACCACTTACACATTTCTTTAACTTTATTAATTACGAAGGAAAGTTTAAGAGGAGAAAAGTACAGAGCCAAGGTGGAGTCTCTTCTATGTGAAAGGGAAGCAGGAAGCAGCACAGGGCAAAGATCTGTCATGGAGGTTTGAGGGAGGCTGAGCGCTTGAACAATGATCTTGGCAAATAGCTCAACTGCCAAGTCCTACGCAGTAGTTGAGACAGAGAGCACCAAAGGCCATGTTCCACTATGACTTGCTGCCTTTCTTGCAGGCCAAAGAGGCCCCTCGTCAAGGGGGCACACTGACTGCTGACATTTTCTTAAGAGCACTTATGCTGCTGGCAAGGCTGGTCAAGTAGTTGTACATCTCTGCCATCAAATCCATTTACCCCACGAACAATCAGCAAGTACCTACTATGTGCCAGTTACTTTGCTGACAGTTGAGATCATGACGGCTTTTCAGCCTTTCAATGAACTCAAAATTCTGGCAGGGGAGAGAAGTGTGCAATAAAAAAATTACTATATTGTAACAGGATAAGTGAAAGGGCTTTCTCCATTAGGGCCTAAGCTGCTAGGAAGTTGAGGTAGCATCCAATTCATCACTGTGGCCCAAGTGCCTGCAGAGGAGGGCCTGGCACAGAGTAGATGTTTGTTTCATAACACATGCAAGTGTGACAGAAGCCCAGGAAGAGGCATTCTCTCTACCTGTAGGCTCAGCAAAGATCTCAGTATGAAAAATATATGAGCCAAGTCTTAAAAACTGAGCAGCCAGACCAGGAAGAACTAAAGCATTCTGCTAAGAACCAGCATGCCTCAAAGCAAAGTTATATGAAATGCTGTATTAGTCAAGGGATACAAAGGCTTTGAGTCAGAATTTGGAATATATATTAACAATGCAAGTCAGAAGACTGACAAGCTAGGGACCAAGGCAAAAAGGATTTCTAAGCCGTGCTGGAAATGTGACTTTGGAAGGGAAAGCTTTTATAAATTCTATGCAGAGAAGTAACCAGGGATTTGTGCTTCAGAAAGTCCATGTCAGCAGCACTGAAAAGTAAGATATAAAAGCAGGGAGTGACTTCCTTAGTATCTCCTTCCAGAGGCCAGTGTAGTGGTTGTCCACCACAGGTAGTATCTGGTGACGTCCAGAGATATTTTTGGTTGTCACACTGAGGGTAAGGGTTAGGGGATGTAGATGAGGCAGTGCTACTGGCATGTAGTGGGCAGAGATCAGAAATGCTGCGAAATACCCTACAATGCAGAGAATAGCACAAAGAATTCTCCAGTTCAAGCATCAATCGTGCCAGCAGAGATATGCCAGTCTAATAAGAAGTGAAGAGAGTCACAGCTAAAGCCAAGAGAATAAAAACAGGACTATTTGGAACAGACCAAATAGGACTCAAAGATTTATGTATGCTGGAATGAGATTAAGAAAAAACTGAGGCTTCTAGTTCAGTGAATAAATAAGCCACAGTACTGACAAGCAAAGCTACGAAGACAAGATGAAGGCAGAGGGATTAGTAGAAATATCAGTTCTGAATGTACTAAAATCTCAGTGGTACACAGATAGACTCACTCATTTTAGGGGATGTCTGGATTTTTCTAGAGGAAATCTCCACTTACCATCCCACTCTCTCTCCTTAAACCTACTCTCACAATCAGCCTATAAATTCTCTAGGTGGATCTAAAAAAAATTTTTTTTAAGACAAGACCTTACTATGTTGCCCAGGCTGACATTCACACCTGGGCTCAACTAATCCTCCCACCTCAGGCTCTCAACCACAGGCACGCATCAATGTGCCCAGTTCTGAAGCGAACCCCATGAGATTTAGAGTGTGGAGAACTCACCTGAGAGAGTGCCCAGTGTTCGCTCAGCTGTGCCTCGGAGGGTCTCCCCTGGCTGCCACTCTGTCTGGGGTAGCAACCAAACATCCTCATCTCCAAGTTTCTCTCTGACTAACAGGACAAGGTTTCTGTCTAGCTTCCGGTGCAATGAGGTTCGATCATTTTTTTTATCGGCTTCTAGGAAGAAAAAGGGGTCAGAAGAGGCAAACAAGATTATTCTACTAGAATCAAAAAACTTAAAAATTTTAGGGTCTTTTAGGGAGAGCTATAACCCTTCCCCTCAGAAAACATACAGCCATTATAACCCTGACCTATCTAACTCTCTTTCAGGGTGCAGACTTGGGCTGTTTCCTCTGTAGAGAAAACATACTCTAAAAAGAAACAAGACCCATAAAAACTCAAACATGACTGCTTCATTGGATTTATCACTATTCCTGACCTAAGTAGTTCCTACTTTCTCTGTTCTTCACCCATCTCTGAAACAATGACAACAGAATCTCTTGCTTTAAGAGAAATTTCTGATAAAACACAAAACTAGAAGAAAAAGATTTAATTTTTTTCATTCTGTTCTAGAATAGGAATTAAACTCAGATAACAGTCACAAAATTTAACTGAGAAAAGAGCACTTTAACAACAAAATTAACATAGGCCTTTTAAAAATTGTATTGGATAGATGCAAAGAAAAAGGGAAAGAATTTACTTTCCTTGTTTTGTTATTTGAAGTTGTTCCTTTAAACACAAGGCAGAGGCTAACCAACTGCCCTGTATCTGAGAACGAAAAATCCCTTCCCCTTCTTTTTCATTGGCTTAAAAAGATCACAAACCTGTTACACGATCTCCAGGTTTGAACTTTTGGAATTCCTGCTCCCACGAATCTTCCAAATCTTGTACAAGCAATATATCCTTTTCATCTTGCTCATCATCGTAGAGATCAGCTTTCTTCTTTGCCATTCTCTGGGCTTCATCCAGAGCACGAAGCTCATGATCTGAATAGAGACTTTGTTCTATCTCAATCTGGAAAAATTAAAAGGATCAAAAACAGGATGTAAAGGCAAAAAAATAAAAAAGACAGACTTGAGGGTTTGTGGGACAGATTAGAAGACACAGACACAACTACGAAGGCACTCAACCACCTTACCTTTGACAAAAGGGTAAAAGATATTCACTGGAAGAAAAATATCACCTTTAATAAGTGGTGCTGGAAAAACTGGCTTTCCACATGGCAAAGACTAAAACTAGACCCATGTCATCACCAGGTAATAAATGAAAGTCAAAATAAATTAAAGCCCTAAATATTAAAACAGAAACCCTAAATCTACTAGAAAACAAGGTAGGCAAAAATCTTGGCACAGAGGCAGGCAAAGAGTTCATGTACAAAATGCAAACTGCACAGGAAGTACTTCAAAGAATAACTGGGATTTCATCTTATTAAAAAGTTTTTGCATATCAAAAGCAATCACCAACATAGGGAAAAGAAAACCAAAAGAATGAAAAAAAAATCGTAGCCAACTGTCTCTCAGAACAAGGACATATATAGAACAAATATAAAGAATTGGAATCAATCAGGACCCCCAAAATTCAAAGACCCAATTCAAAAAAGAGCATCTGAGATGAATACTTCTCAGATGAAGAAATACAAATGGCAAATACATGAAGAAATGTTCAACATCACTGGTCATTTGAGAAATGCAAATTAAAACACTGAGATTCCATCTCACTCCAGAAAGAATAGCTGCGATCAAGAAATCAACCAATAACAAATGCTGGTGGGGCTGCAGGGAAAAAGGAGCCCTTCTCCACTGTTGGTGGGAGTGTAGACTGGTGCAACCACTGTGGAAATCAATCAGGACATTCCTCAAAAAACTAGGAATGGAATATTTTCCCAGAAGAATGGAAACATCATGCCACAACAATGTATGTGCACCCATGTTTATAGGAGCACAATTCGTAATAGCTAAACCTTGAAAACAACCCAAATGCCCATCACATGCAGAATGGGTTAAAAAAAAAAAAGTGGTATTTTTATACAATGAAGTATTATTCAGATAAAAAGAAGGATAAATTTGAGATTTCTATAGGTAAATGGATGCAATTTGAGACCATAGTCATAAGTGAAATAAATCAGACTCGCATGTGTAAAATATCATATTGGCTTCCTAACGTAAAAAAATTGAAAGTAAATAGTATTCAAAATGTACACGAGATACTGTGAAAATGAAAGGGAAAAAAGTGCTCAAAAGAACAACCAGGATAAAGGAAAAGAGAAAGAAAGAAGGAAAAAGATTGTGTGTGTGTATGTACAAGATACACAACTATACTACTAACCTCTGTTAGTTCACCAAAAAGAACAGTTTGTGCTTTGATTGTTTGATCATTGTTTTCATGTTTAAATTTTGTAATCTGAACAACTACTTTGAGGATATCAATATGGAATACATTAACTAGTGTTAATTCCCCCCAAAAAGTGGTTCAAAAACAAACTTAAAAAAAAGGACAGGAAAAAGTAAAAGGAAGCTACAAAATCCCTGAACAGGCTCATAAGTTTATCACAAAATATGCAAACATACAATCAAAACACTACACAGAAAGCAATGAATGCAAAAAAGCTTCAGTTCATACATAAAGCTTCAGTTCCATTTGTCAGTATTTTAGAATGGGATTGAGGGTTAAGACTGCTACCAAGAACAGAGGCCTGTGATAGGCACTGTGGGTCCACTACTTCACTCCAGTCCCATCCGTCTTCGGCCAGCATCTTACTTTCCTGCCTTTCCCTTTTTCCTACAATGTTTTTCTTCATGTTCTATCCAAGAGACTTCATCTTATCCTTCTGATCTCAATTTAAACATCACTCTCTCGGAGAGACATTCCTTAAAACCGCCCATAAATTCTAAATTAGGTGTCCCTGTGAAACATATTACTCTGTAATTTCCTTTTCAACACTCACCAGAGTCTCCAGTTAGTTATGTGACTATTTGTTAAGGGCTGCCCCCTCATTCCACTGGACTGAAAACCCTGAGCCACAGCTACACCTGTCTGATTCAGTACTGGATCTCTAGCACAGCACACAGTCTGATACACAATACCAGATGTGCTGTGAACATATGTAAGGTGAATAATTTACCAAATGAGTAAATAAGTAAACTGAGAAAAACACAGAAGAGGTGGTAGCTTTCAACAGTTCAAGACAAAAAACATCTCAGATGCTCGCAAAATATAAACATCCGCCAATCATTATCTGTGGCACTTAGTACCCTCCCAAACACTACACTTAATTTTTGTTAAAAATACTTTACTTTCCCTTTACAAAAATAGCCCTGAGGTAAAACAGAGCAGACTTTGTCACCGGCATCTTAGCGATGTGCCCCCTGCCTCCTGTGCTTAACACTCACCACACACCAGACTTTCTCCCGTCCTATGGGCACGTTCCTGGTGACAGGGGCTAATTCCGGTCACCACTGAATCCCAAACGCGTTAGATGAATAAAAAAAGTACAGCGCCTCCAAAGAGTTGTCCAAAGAGCCAACAAAGGAGTGAAAATAAACTGATAAATGCCAACTGTGTGTCAATCTAAATCAATTAAGTTATACTTGCAGACCAATACAGTGAGGTTGAGAAAGAAAATGATCTGCTTCAGGTCACACAAACTAATTGGTCCCGAACTCAGGATCGAACCAAGTCCCAGTGCTAGTGCTGCCCGCTCGGCACCCTTTAAGCCCGCATCCCACTCCCACCTGCCGCAGCACAGCCGCCATCTCTTCCTGCAGTGGGGTCAGAGCCTTGGAGATAAGCGGTGGCCGCTGCAGACACAACGCGCCCAATAAACGCCACGGCGATCTGTTGTTTGAGGGTGCGGTCGCCAGAGACAGACTCCGAGAACCCAAGCTACCTGCCCAAAGCCTCTCCATCCGTCGCCAGCCTCTCGTCACCCCAGACAGAGTATACTTCACGGGCGCCGCCATCTTTCTGCCTTCCCAAAATGTCCCGCGACTCCCAGAAGCGATCTTAGCCAACCCTATACTCCCATAAGGCAACGCGGAGGCGTCGGATGGGGAAGTGGGCAGTCCTCGGAAGTGCTAGAACAAACCATCCCAATATGCAGGGGTGGTTGAAATTCTCGGGTTAAGAAATTTAAAAGAGGAAGAGTTCCCAGATAAACACGCAACGATAGCTTCTATTGAGCACTTAAATTTGGAAAACACTTAAGGCGCCTAATAAAGAGCAACAAGAAGAATTGTCTTCTGTACCCTCCCTCGCAGGCATTAGTGGTGTGGGCGTCTCTCTAGCTAGGTCGACGCCACCGACGGGTGCTGCCTGGGGTCAAATTCAAGACATGCAGTTTGTGAGAAACGCGAGGTCTTGGATCCCGCGGTCATGGACTCAGCCCCTGACGACCAGGTAAGACTGCCTCTTCGACTCCACTGTCACTTTTGGGACTGCGCTTCTGTCCGTGTCTCCTGTGCTACTTGGGCTCCAATGACCGGGACTTTACCGAGCATTGCTCCTCCACAGGGTTGTGACCGGTGTCCCAGCCCGGACCATCCACACTGACGCCCAGGAGATGCAAGATGCGGCTGCCAAACAGGAAATTGAGAAGGAGCCTCCAAGGCAGAGCAGATTCAGGTGAGGACCATGAGATCCAGTCCTCGGGAGACCCACACCAGTGACTCCCGCCCACCACCTTCCAGAGACAGAACCAGTGAATTCCCAACTCTGTCACTTGCCATGCGCAGGACCTAATGGAAATCGATCTCGGAAACTCAGTTTTCTCATCAAAAAATGGGAATATGGCTTAAGGGGTTGTTTGTGGAAGTCACATGAAATGAGCTGTGGCACTTTGTAGCTGCTTGGTGAACCTATGTTGGGTGAACAAGTGAATGCCAAATGTTTGTGTGCTTTCTTCCCTATGAGATTAATTTCATGTCAAACTAACAACTTTCCCTGCCTTGGACGCAGAATGTAGTGAGAGGGATTTTACACTTTGGAGCAGATCATCTTGCATTTTGAGTTAATTGAAGGTTTGGGATGAGTTTTGTGCTCAGCCTTGGGCAGTGGCATCTTGCTTCCTGCTGGTGCTACTACCTCTGTATGCAGTCGATGTACCCATTCATTTAATTTCACATCCACTTAACCAGTGTTTACTGAGAACTTACTATGTGCCAGGTGCCAGAAATACAAAATGTCATTCCTCCACTCAGATAGTTCAGTATTTTTTGGAAAAAAAAAAAAAAAAAACAGATATGCACCCAGTTTCACCATGTTCTGCTTGATAGTATAACAGAGGTAAGAACTAGTTGAAAGTATGAAAGAATAAATGTCTCACTTCTGAGGAAATTAGCCAAGACAGTGAAGATAATGTGAAGCTGAGATATAAATTGGAGTTCGGCTGAACAAGATGACCAGAATCTCAGCCGGAGATAACCAGCCATCTGTGTAGAAGAATAAAATGTGCTCAGGTGTGTGATGACAGATGAGGCCAGCAAGATAAGAAGAAAGCAGAATGGGAAAGGTCTTATCTGTCATCCTGGAGCTTTGACACTTTCCTGAATGCTGAAGGAATTTAAATCAAGATTCTGTTGGAGTCATTCATTCAACATTGCCATGATTAGGGGTATAGCTTAGTGGTAATGTGCTTGCCTGCCATTCATGAGGTCCCAGGTTTGGGCTCCAGCACTGGAGGGAAAAAAAACAGTTGAACAGTGCCAGGCACTGGCATAAACCTGGCCAAACAGAAAAAAGCCCTGCCCTATAGAACTTAAATCCTAGTGTGTTGGGGACAGTAAATAGAAAATACCTAGAACAGTGGGAGACTGGAGTTCCAACAAGCATGCATGGCCACATTCTGTAGGGCCTGTAGACCCTTTTGAGGACTTCTAAGTGAGATGGGAAGCCACCGGAGAGTTGAGAGGGTTGGCACCATCTTACTTGCTGTATTAAAAGAGTCTCTTGCCACCGTGCTGATATTAAACCATTGAGAGAAGTCTCATACACAGTTTAAAAACTGGAGAAATAATCTACACAAGAAATGATGGTGCTTCCAGGCGTGGTGGTGCATGCCTGTAACCCCAGCACATGGGAGGCTGAGACAGTAGGATCGCTGAGAGTTCAAGGCCAACCTGAACTACATAGTGAGACCCTACCTAAAAATAAATGATGATGGTTTGGACCCCATCTGATAGTGGGAGTTAGTGTAAATGGTCTGACTGATAGATCTTGAAGGTACAGTATAGTCAACAAGATTTGTTAATATAAGGTGTGAAAAAAAGAAGAATGAAAGAAGACTCTGAAATGTTGCACCTGAAGAGCTAGAAAGATGGAGTTATTTGTTAAGATGGGAGAAGACTAGGATTTTAGTTTTGAGTGGTTACTTGAAGGGTCCCCAGTATCTAAGTGGAGATACGACATGGAGGGGAGATTTGGGTAGTGATACTAAACCAGTGAGGGGAGACCTCCAGAGAGGTAGAAAGCAGGCCAGGAAAGTTTTAGTGTGGTTAATGGCAGGCAGAGCAGCTATGTCCAGTGCTGCTGACGTGATGCATTGATAAACTGGTACAGAACTGCTGGTTGGATTTATCAATGTAGATTTGGTTGGTGGTGTTGATTGGAGCACTTCTGGTGGAGTCCTAGGGGCTGATGACTAATTGGAGTGGATTCAAGGAGAATTAAAAATATATATATAGGAAGAAACAGGAGCGTATCAGTTTCTTCAGGGGATGTTTGCTGTAAGGGGGAATAGAGAAACGGACAGTCAAGCGAACTTGGGGCTCAAGGGGTTTGGGTTTGTTTTTTTTGCGGGGGGGTTGTTTCAGGTTTGGAGCATGACAGTATGTTTTACTGCTGAGAGTGATACAGTAGAGAGCAAAAAACTACGCACTGAAGTGCCAGCACTGCTAAAGCAGTGTCCTTGAGGGACTAATACACAAGCGGAGCTTCGGAACGAGAGAGACCACAGAGGCCGTGGGCACAGATGTTCGGTCGGGGAGCTGGAGGAAGCTGATTGCTTCTGCTTCTTTGTAGAGGTCATCAGCTGGCATTGAGGAAGCAGGAGGGAATTGGAAGCTTAAGCAGACAAAAGAAAGTACAGAAGAGTCTTCCAAAAGAATGGAAGGATAATTGAATATTGATATCGCCAGGCAGTGCCGAGGGCCTGCTCAATGCTAGCAGTCATTGAAGCAATAGCAGTGGTACTCAGCCTTGACCAACTTGGACCCCGAGAGACTTTTAGCAGTATTTGAAGACATCTTTGGTTGCCAGAACTTGGGGAACAGTATCTAGTAAATAGACAACAGGAATGCTGCTAAACACCCCGTAATTCACAAGGCACCTCCCATGACAAAAGTTACCTTGTCCAAACTGTCAGTAGTGATGAGGTTGAGAAGCCCCAGTCACAGAGATCAGTCAGCATCACTGTAGTTGCACAGGCTGAGTGACAGGAGAGATGGATTTGGCCAGAGGGAGGGCCTTGCCAGGGCAGTACAGCGAAGCAAGAAGAGACAGAATCGAGAGCATCTGGGAAGGATAGCATTAGGACTGTCCGTGAGGTTTAATCTAAGCAAGGAGGGAAGTCAGGACATGAGTGTGTGGGATGGTGGACAGCTGGTAGGATCGCTGGACTGCAGGCCCTGTGGGATTGAAGAGTTCCTGGACTGAAGTCCCCGCAGAGCAAGTGGGCAGAGGGTGTGATGCTTGAAGGTCAGCATGTGGACCCAGGTGTCGGTAATGACAAAGGTGAACAGTGACCCCAGAAGTAAGTAGCTAAGGTAGGGCAGAGGGCATGTGCTGTTGCAGGACATTGATTTAGAAACAGAAACCAAACGGTTGGAAGAATCTTACTGAGATCACCAGCAATTACAGTAGGAACGATGCTAAGGAAAGCTGAGCCAGGAGCTGTCCTTTGCATCTTCTACATATATTTGCATTTTTAAAAATTGTCTCCAGCAGTTGTTAGCAAATGGATTGTCTGTCGTGACCCGGGTGTAAGGATGGGTAGAAAAAGGCAGTTGACAGGTACCTGAAAGCTTTGTCTTGATTTTTGGGGTCTTCCTTGTGTAACCATTTATTTATGTATACATTAAAGGCCTGGTCTTGCTCAGGCTTTCAGTTAAACAGGTAAGTTCTAAATCCTTTCTAGTTGTGAAACTTTGCCATTTTAAACCGCATTACATTGGTTACACTCAGACTTCAGTGGACTTGGCTTTTTGGTCCCATGTCAACAGGGGAAAATAATCAGTGGGGAAGTGATCATCTTTTAAACATTAAAGTTACCTGCAAGACTCACCCTCTTCCTCGAGCTCCATGTAGGCAGATAAGCCAACAGCCTGCTAGATTTTACATCATCTCTAAACTCAAACCCTAGAAAAGAACACATGTAACCTTTGGATACCATGTGCTGTTGTTTAGTTTTGTCTTTAGAAGAGCAGCTAAGGATAGGAGAGAGCGGTGCTCAGGTTAGTGTTTTTCTAAAATGGAGTGCTTTGTATTAGAAATTCAGCATGGCCACATGGGTACGAACATGTATCTGACTTGAGTGTAGAAACAGTGGAACAAAGGACCTAACTCCCAGCCGTGTTGCTGAATGACAATTGCGTGTGTTCAGATTTTTAAAAAGCATAGCGTGGTGTGCGATAACCGGGGTAGATAACATAGGTTTCAGCCCAGCTTTCCTTAACCCTAATCCCGTATTTGTACCTGAGTCTCTTCATCGAAAAATGAAGAGAACTTATATACAGCACACCAGAAATAGACGAAAGCTGAACTCAATACAGTGTGTAGGTCAGTGTTCCCAACACATCTCACATCTGATTCGCTGGGGTATTTGGAAGTAGGTTCCTGGACCCATTCTAAAGTCTACGGTGAAGCTTACTCAATGGTAATTGTTTTACCTGCATTGAAAGCCACTTGTCTATGTATAGCCAGTTGCCTGTTTTTGTAAAGTTTTATTAGAGCACCACCACTTGTTTATTTACTATTGTCTGTGGCTATTTATGGCAATTTAGTAGTGACACAAACCTCTTGAACATTGGCCAAGGAAATCTACTGTATTTGCCATCTAGCCCTTACATAGGTTTGCTAGGATAATCTGAAATAATAATGATGATAATATAAGTATTGAGATTTTGGGCTCATTCTTATAGAGACAAGATATTGTCAATGATTGAGAAAACAAGAGGTAGAAGTTTGTCTGTATTTTTAAGTTGCAGAAAGGGGAGCCTGTAAAGCACTGGAAAGTAGGGATGTGATTCTCTAAGCAAGACAAGGGAAGATGGAGAATATGAATTAAATTGTCTTTTCGTATAGCAGAGAGTCCCTAGATGTGTCTGAAGTCAGCAAGTCAAGAAATTCAGCAGCTCCAAGCAGGAGTGTAGCTTACTGTACAATGCTCACCTTGCCTGTGCAGGACCCGGGGCTCGACCCCAAGCACCACAGCAGAAGAAAAGCCCTGTAAGCACGTGCCCGCAGGAGCCGCAGTGACCCAGCGCGCTGGGAAAGGGGTGGTGGGGGCAGCGGCACCCCGAGCGGGACCGGAGCCTGAGGGTGTTGTTTGTCGTGGTGGGCTTATCTACTATTTTCTTTTCCTTAAAACAAAAATAACCACCACAATTGTAAGTAAACTGCTTCTTCTGATTTCAGCATTTTCCCTCCAGTTCCAGGAGAAGAGAGCTCCCTGCAGTGGGCAGGGAAGAAATTTGAAGAGATCCCAATTGCACATATTAAAGCGACCTACAACAAGTGAGCAGAAAGGGGCGCCCTGGGCATCCCCTGCGGGTTTCCTTCCACTTCACCCTCCCCGGATGGGAAGTCAGGGTGCTGAGTGCCGTGTGATGGTACTAATTCCGGGGTCCCTACGCTCACTCACCCCTTCTTGTTTGAGGAAAATACTTCTGGCTTGCTAAAGTTTCATGAAAATGTGAACTAGAGTGGGTATATGGTATTTATCAGAATTTTTTTGTCCTTTGGATACAGTATTTCTTGATCCCGTTCAAGAATTGGAGGATGTGTAGTAGGGGCAGATCATGAGGTGCTTACTAAGTGTTAGCTGAGTACCGGGGGATGAGGGTGCTGGTGGGGATGGTCCGAGGGTATGTGGCTTTAGGAGGGAAGTAGCCAGAGATAAACTCCCAAGTAAGTGCCAGCCCGGCCACCTTCTCACTTGGGCCTCGGTGCCCTGACCTCTGTGTCACAGGGAGAAGGGTGCACGGTGAGTCCAAAGGGACACGCCTGTGTTGTGTGGCGTGCACAGCAGTGTGCACTGGCTGCACTGGCTTCCAAGTCAAGCCCATTTCTCTCTCACTCGGCCTTCTAAGGCCTTCAAAATCCCAGATGTGCTCTCATTTCCCTGAACAACAGTTACATGTATATGCCTCCCTGCTCCCAGCACACAGATCCAGGTGGTCTCCTCCTCCAACGTGCCCCTGGCCCGAGCTTCCTGTGGCACGGAAGGGTTTCGGAACGCCAAGAAGGGCACGGGCATCGCAGCGCAGACGGCAGGCATCGCGGCCGCGGCGGTGAGTGCGCGCCGGGCAGTTCCCTGGGTGGAGAGTCCCCTACGGGGAGTTCGCATTAAAGCAGCAGGTCAGAAGCGGCACAGTGACACACACGCCAGCACCTGTGAGGTGTCCTGTCACTGCACATGGCTTGAGCAGATCTGCGAGCAAAGGTTCTTTATGCTTTCTCCCTTTGGTACAGATAATACACTTGGTTTATTTTAGGAGTCAGAGCCAAAAAAAAAAAGGCTTAAGAGCCTCAGCCCTCTCTTAGTTTAGAAGCCCTTAGCATGGGCAGGGGGACACAGTCTGGAGGACATGTGATATAGTGAGGACTCCCATACAGCACCAGTTCTATAAGCAAATTGTCATGTGCCTCTGTTGGTATATTTATTGAGCAACTACCATGCACATGACACTTTATATTCATTATTGTGAATCTGCAGAATTAGCTGCTTTCTCTAGAGCCAGTTTCAGAATCAGAGTGTGTAACTTGGTCAGAGCCAGTGAGCCTCTTCAGCTCCCTGACAGGAGCCCAGCCTGGCCTAGGACCACAGCCTGCACTCCTTGTTCTGTAGCCCAGGTCTTACAGTGTTCATCCCCTGCCAGGCCACAAGTCTTTCCTGAAGGAAAACCGTGGTCTTCAAATGGAGCTCACCTTCCAGAGATACTGATTGCTGTGAATTAATGATCACCAAAAATCAAAATGCTATAAATGCCCAACAGTAGACAATGATACCCAATTAAAAGAAATCTGTCAATGTTGACAGTGGCTCCTGCGTAGTAGGTCATGAGTAACTTCTGTGGGCCAGCCACGATGGCACACACCTGTAATTTCAGCACTCAGGAGGCCGAGGCAGGAGGATTGCTACAAGTTCAAGCCGAGCCTGGGCTACATAGCTGAAGGCTTGCCTCAACTCCATATGAGACCTTGTCTCCAAACAAAATGATGAGTGACTTCTGTGTAGTTTCCCAGTTTCTATAAGAGCTGCCTTTATCATTAAAAGAGGAAAATTAACTGTAAACATTTTAAACAGTGATGCTCTTAAGCGCAGCCTTAAAATCCCAGGGAATACCTCACCATCTGCAATTCTGCTTTTACCTACCTAAAAATCTCCATTAGGTGGCGGTGCTGTGCTGGGCTTAAAGACCACAGTCCAGCTGACAGCTTGCCGCTATCTGCCCTCCACCGCAGCCATTCCCCCCTCCTCTTCTGTCCTCGGGCTCCCTGCTTGCTTCTGCGACTGCCCCTTCCCTCTGGCTCCCAAGGAAGGTGCCAGAGATTGGGGTCCAGTATTTGTCTCTCTGGGGCACTCACCATTTACCACTTCTCTCCAGAAAGCTACAGTGAAGGGTGTGACCCACGTCCGAGTTGTGGTGAAAGGCCTGGGCCCTGGGCGCTGGGTGAGTGACCATGGCTCTCCGTGGTGTGTGCAGAACTGGGGCTCGAGAGCTGGGTAGAAGAGAGAGGGTAAGAAAGCCTCTGTAGTGGGTTTCCCTGGAATGGCTCAAAGTTTCTCTCTGCCGTTCCTACAGTCTACTAAGCCCCCAAAACAAGCCTGGATTGCTTTGTTTAACTCAGTGGACACTCCTTGGGTGTCTGCTGTGTGCTGGGCCCATGGGAATGGGAAGGCAGCCCCCAGGGAATCCTGTAGGCATCCCAGCATCCTGCAGGCAGTCTCAGCACCCAGGAAGGGGTGTCTCCAGGGGGTGGGGAGAGCAGTATAAAACAGGATTCTCTGGTGGTGAGGCCCATGCTGGGGGCCAGGGAGTTGGGTCCCGAGCCAGGCAGGGGTGCTTTTAGCTTTGATGCTGAAGACATGCCAAGGAGTCTTCATGCTCACATTGTACTGGGTGGCAGGTGTGATCTGAGAGGAGACGGCGTTGAGAACTTGGGTCCGGGCCTGGCAGGAGCCCTTTGTGAGCGGAGGGTAAGGGTGGAGCTGCAGGTGCCTCCCCACTCCCCTCTCCTGCCACACCTCGACCCTCCTGGAGCCTGTGTGGTCTAGAGGCGACAGGTCACCACTTCTGTGACCATGCCATCCTTCTCTTTCTGCCCCTTCCAGTCTGCCATCAAGGGCCTGACCATGGGCGGCCTGGAAGTGATCTCAATCACAGACAACACCCCTCACCCACACAACGGCTGCCGCCCCAGGAAGGCCCGGAGGCTGTGAGGGAAGGTGACTGCACTGGAACCCGACCTCAGCTCACCTCTGGCCCGACCACGCAGAAAGCTGACTGGAGGAGCAGCCTCCACAAAAGGGCTCACTGTAGCCCTGCGCTCTCCAAAGGCTCCCCTCACTGCAGCCTCTGCCCGCATCCCCCAGCAGAGGAGGGTGCGCCCCATGAGCCACGCCATGCCTCCTGTAGGTACAAAGGGAGCTGTGGGGACAGCGGGGGCCCAGGTTCCCGGCTATGAGGAAATAAAGAACTCTCGGACTGTCTGTATAATCGTGGCTGTTGCTCTTAAGAGTTAGAAGCGGCGCTCCCCAGTGGCTGCAGAAAGGGAATGTCTGTCCCATGCCAGCTTTGATAGGAGGGTTCTGCTGCGGTGAGCGTGAGTGGTGTGGCCCAGACCCCTTCTTTGGCTTCACACACTGTTTGTCACCTCTCAGCCAGGATCTTCAGGGCTCTCCACAACAACCGTTCCCACTGACAAGTTGTAATTGGGCCCCAACAGGAGAATGTTTGGCCTTCCATCTCTGGATTCTGAGAGAAGACTGGCACAGTTAGTGGCCATTCTCAAAGTTTGCCGCAGCAGTATGAGGGTGCTGTCCATCAGTCAGGTCTGCTGGAGTGCCGGGTCCAGCACACTGAAGTGACAGGCAGCTTTTCCCCTGTACCCGGGAGGGAGTGTCCCAGAGGAGGGTGGTGAGCAGGGTTAATTGCAGGAACAGAGTCCCCCAGGAAGGAAGGTGGCTGGTCAGAGGACCCAGGAGGGTGCTCGTAACAGTGCAGGAGAATGAGCTGTTGTGGATCCTTGATAGTGTTGACAGATGAGTTAGGAGAAGGCCAAGAATAAGCGTCACAGAAGCCCAGACGGAGCTGTGAAGCCGCAGGACAGTGTTACTTAGTCACAAGAAGCTCTGGAGAACAAGCACCTACAAGCTCACAAAGGACCCTGAAGGATCAGTGGGCCTAGGCCTAGGAATGATTGCTGAGCAGGAGTCCCAGGGGCCAGGCCTCCTTTCCCAGAGCATCCTGGGAAATGCACACTGCGACACTGTCACAAGCTGCCAGTGTTTACTGTTGCTTTCAGGCCAGCCAAGAAAACTGCTCTCTTCAATAAAATTAGTCTTAGTCATTCGGTCTTGGCATCTTGAAAACTGGTCCCAACAGCCTTCACCAAAGATGGACTGATCAAGGCAGTTTTTGTTTACTAAAACACGGCTGCTGGTCTCTGTCCTGAGCAAAAGGGGAAACTGTGTCTGGTTTTTCCCAGGCAGAGAAGAGGCCGAGCCCTGCCCTTGGGCCCAGAGCATCTGCACCAGCAGTGTTGGCATCAGCTTGTGGGGCACAGGCAATGATGTTTCCTGGCAGCAGGACCCCAAATAGTTTCAGTGGGTGCAATTTTACTTCTAAAGCTGTTGGCACAGGACTGGCTACATATGGGACACCTATCCTCTCCTCCACAAGCAAAAATAAAAAGGACAGATGTAGTTTCTTTCCTTGCAACATAGAGGCAATGCTTTCGCTTCTTTCCACTGAGGCCAAGACCTGGCACTGAGATGCAAGTAAAACTCGCTTAACCCTGGATCACTGGGTACTAACAGAATCACATGGCACTTTAGGATAAACCGTTTCCCAGTTGCAGCTGCCTGACCTAGTTCAGGTACGTCCATTTGTAAGACTGCATATAAACTCCAGCAGGCTCCTTTATTTTCTGCCTCTCTGTGTCTGTGTCTCTGCCTTTCTTTCTCTCTCTCATCTCTGTCTCTCCCTCTCCCTCTCTGACTCTACTAATTTTTAAATCTGGGTACGTTAACCTCACAGTAGTGAGATGGTCATTGCCAGAAGCAAGAATTCTGCACTCATCAAAATTGAGCCAACATTGTTCGTCCACACAGAGGTCTGGTGCCGTCACTACTGTCCCAGGGCTCGCAGCCTGTGGAGGCTGGACAGGGATGTGGCCAGTTTGGATGAAGTTCTGTAACAGGCATCACTGCTGATGGTGCTGAAGTAAAGCGATCCCGTTCATGTAGGAAGGAAGGGAAGACCTGGAGGAGGAGATGCAGGCCAGGCAGAGGTTCTCGTGATGGCCTTGGGGTTAAAACTTGACCAAGCAGCAGGCACAGCCCACAGTCAGGGGAACATCATTGGGCTACTGGCTATGGCCTAGTGGGCATGAGGGTCACGGGCCACGGACTGGATGGGTAGGCTAATGGAGGTCAAGGCGGGACTGGGGAGAAAGAAGGAGAGAAACTAACTTGGACTCCACCAAGAATAAGGACAGTCTCAGTGGATGTGATGGAGAAAGGGAGCGAGGTGTGCAGAAGGCAAGGTCAAAAAGGAACTCGGGAATCAAAGATCTTAGAGGAGCTCATTGACAGCCTGAACCACACAGGGAAACCCTGTCTGAAAAAAACCAAAAAGAAAAGAAATTGTGAGATACGGATCAGATAGTTATCCTGCTGCTGCTGTTGGGGAAAGGGGTAAAGAAGAAATGATGCAATGTGAAATTCTCACAGAGTGAAGAGGCCTGTGGTCTGGGGAGGAGAGGGCGCTCAGCAAGAGGACAGAACAGGAAGAGGAGGAGGACTCTAGGGGAGGACGTTGAGAGGGAGAGTGAGGAGAGTGCAGGTTGGGCCCGGGTCCCTCTGCAGTGACTGGGTGCGGGTGCTGAGAGGGTGTAGGAGCTGAGTGAGGGTCCTGCAGTGCTGGAGGACAAGTCCCTGTCATGGCCAGGATCTGCTTCTAAGCAACTTTTAATGAGGGGAGAAATACAGAAGGTCACAATCTATGAAAAGATGCTAAATCTAACTAATAATCAAGGGAAGGGAAATTAAAATGTATTACCATGTTCTCAGAATGTAGAGTAGCTAATCAAAGCCACAGCAGGGATATGATGGCCCAGGAGAAAGAAGACGAGGAGGAGGTGGCCCAGGCTGTCAAAGCTGAAGGAAGAGACCAGACAAAGCCAGGGATGGAGTAACGAAGGACAGGAGGCTCTAGCATCTTGAAGCCAAGGAGGCCAGCACTTGGGAAGTGAGGCACAGTCCAGATGCAGACTGCTGCCTGCAGGTCAGCTGGCGGCTCCGTGGGATGAGTGTGGGAAGGTGCCTGAGGCAGTGGCAGAGTGGGGTTCATGATTCCCCAAAGGGGAGAGAGGGTGGGAGGCAGCGGGGCAGAAGAAAGGGAGATTTGGGCTGGCACTGAGTCCCTGGTGAAGGATGTCTTCTAGGACAGGAATGGACGCTTCCCTGCCGTGCAGGAGCCAGGCAGGGCATGCAGAGGGGAGAAGAGCCTGAGAGCTGGAAGCAGGCGGACACTGGCCAGGCAGCAGAGCCTGGGCATCAAGGGGGACTGCACATGTGGGACCCAAGGACGGGTGTGCCATTATAAGCTGGGAACAGCAGAGTCTGATATGAGCAACATGGACACCATGACAGAAACAGAATGTCCTTGGAGCCGGCACAGAGAGAACCTTGTTCTTTCCAACATTTCAGACAATTGTTGGGAAACAAAAGAGCTCTCCTTCCCCCCTCGCTCTTATTGATGGATACAAATAGCTAGAGCCTCTTCAGAGGGAGACTCGGCTGTCTCTGCCCGAGCTTCAGACACACAGACCTTTGGCTTCCTCCTCTTGCAGCAATGTGTCATCCGGCAAGAGCAGCGCCGGCCACCAGACAGACCGGTTTCCTGCACAGGGGAAATGTCCCATAGCTGCCCTGCCCCTGTGGAAGCCCCTGGGCCCACATGGCTCTTGAATTGTGGCTGGTGTGACTGAAAAAATGAATTCTATATTTTACTAGAATTCATTTAAACGTGACAGACACATATAGCCAGTGGCTGCCATATCGGGCAGTATAGCCCTGATATCCTTTCCTATATGCTCTGAGTAAGCAGAAGTAACCACAGCGGCACTGTGCACAGCGGGAAAAGATGGAGCCCTAAAGGCCCAGCATCAGGGGTTAGTGAGAGAAATTACAGCACAGCCACAGGAAATGCCAGCCCAGAGACAAGCCACGATGCACTGCCCCGTGAGAAAGGAAGGCGTGCTGAGCGTGGCCGCTGTTTCTTGTAGGAAAGGAAACATGTATATATGTTTGTACTGAGTATCTGGAGAGCGTGATAGCATGCAAAATGGTAGTATTCTCAGACACAGAAACCAAGTGGCCATGGAGCAGGTGAAAAGAGGACGTGTGTGTGTGACAGAGACAGTGACAAAGAAGAAATAGATGGAGACTGAGAGACTCTCTCTGTGTTGCCCACATTGGGGTTAAACTCATGGTCCTCTCTCTCAGCTTCCCATATGGCCAGAATTACAGGCAAGTGTACCGATGTATCTAGTAAGAATTTAAATTATATCAGGCGTGGTGACTCATGCCTGTAATCCCAACACTCAGGTTTGGAGGAACATCATGAGTTTGAGGCCAACCTGGGCTACACAGAGAGAGCCTATCTCAAAAAAAAAAAAAGAAAAAGGAACTTAACATTTTACCTTTCTCACTTTTCTCACCTTTCCAAAGTGGGCATCATGTATGTGTTTTTGCAGAAATTCAGATTTCTGAACCAGTTAAAATGTTAGAAATGTAAAACTTTTTTAATGTATAGAAGCTGTGGTCAAGCATTATGCAAATTATCTGCTGAAGTGCACATATAACATTTTCTGAATGTATATTTTTATCACATGCAGACCCTGTAACACTCCCTGTGCCCAGTGATGGTCTGGTAAAGACCAGATTTGCCCCTGAAATTTGTTCTTGTAATGAATCTGGCTTCTTCCTCTGCAATCCGAAGGTCAAATCGCGTTGTACACTTGCTCTCGAATTAGCTTGACATGCCTTGCCAGAAAAGTCGGCCTTGGCCTTCGTGTTGTTATTGCTCAGCTGGAAGGAGGGGCAAAGAGAGCTGGGTGCTCGTTTCCATAGCGCCGTGTGGTGGCTTAGCCATCTTGGATTTGTGTAATCCCCTTGAACTGAAAGGAAAGGTCAACTGAGGGGCAGTGTGGTGTCACAGGGAAACACCTGCTGTCTAGGCTCAATGTGAGCCCACACTCCTCTTGCCCCACCAGGCTTCAGTCTTCCCCTCAGGGTGATGGGGGAAGGGAGTGGGGTAGGGCTCTGGCATCCAGAACAGCTGACCCCTAGAGGAATACCCAGATGCTGATGCATGAGGTCACATCAGGGGGGAACCCCAGGGGTGCTGCAGGAGCCACAGTGATGTCCTTAGAGATCCTATTCATTCTCCTCTGGCTCTTGGCCAGTGCCCCCCACTGGTTACCCATCCCTTCCAGCCACTGGGCTGGGAAAAGCAATTGTTGGAGTCACACACACAGGATTCGAATCCCAGTTCTGATGTGTGACCTTGGGGAGAGCTTACATCTTGAACCTCAGCTACTCCCCTCTCGTTAGGAGCTGTTAAGAAAATTCACTGAGATAGCTGTGTACACAGCCAGTGTCACCATGGGGGCTCACCAGCCCCACAAGTCCCTGCACCCTCTGTCCTCAGGGACCCCACTTCCATCCCATAGAATCCTGGCAGAAAACCTCAGGGTGAATGCCCATCTGCCCATGGTGCCTGCTGCTGTTATTATAATTCTCAAATACTTTTCCTGTGTTTTTAATTAGAAAATGTTGTATAGGAGCCAATCACCCATCTTCCTATTTCCTTTAATCCACTCAACTGTAGATTAAGCTCGATTATTAAAAACTTGCAGCCAAAAATGAAATTAAATTAAAAAGCCAAATGATTCAAGAGTCTATCCCTCAAGGGCCCTTCTCCTCTCCCTCCTTCCTGGAGCATCAATCAACATTCAGATACAAAATGTCCCAGCCCTGGTAACTGCCCTGAGCAGTTTACAGATTAGTGGGAGAGACAAACTCAGAAAAGTTCTTGCAATGTCGTGGGGACTCCCACTTGACAGGGACTCCTATGAGTATATGTGATGGCAGTGGTGATGAGGAGAGGAACCGGGAATATTTCCTAGCAGAGGTGACACCCAAGCTCAAAATATGAATAGGAGATGGGGGGGGTGATGGACAGCAATGACTTCCCACAGAGAGGGTAGCATCGTCAGGGGACATGTGCAGAGGTGATCCAGTCTGTGTGGCAAATAGCAAACTGTTTAGCATACAGGTGAACAAGGTAAAGAGACTAGAAGACTGAGAAAAGCTCCCAAAACATCAGGTCCTAACCTAGGAACCTGAAAACGTTAGTTTGTATGGAAGCAGGGTCTTTGCTGATGTGTAAATTGGGAAGCTGGAGATGGGGGAGTTATCCTGGATTATCTGGGCGGGTCCTAACACAATCCTGTGTGTCTGTATATAGAATCAGCATAGTTGGCTCATACAAGGGAGAGAAGACTGTGTGATCACAGAGGCAGTGACTGAGACAGGCAGCTGTAAGCCTAGCATCTTTGGGGAACAGTAGAGGTAAGAACAATGCTTCCCTGGGGCCTCCAAGGAAGCAGAGCATGGCCAATCCCTTGATGTGGACCGGGGAGAGATCTGTGGAAGAGCACACTTCTGCTGTGTTGAGGCCCCAGTGCATAGCTGCAGGAATAGAATAAAGAGGGTAGGAGAGAACACTGGAGAAGCCAGTGTGGGTGAAAAGAAGCGTGTAGCCAATTGTCAGCACACAAATAGATGGAGCTTGGCTGAGTGCAGTCACATGCAGAGATGTGAGATCTGTAAACACCCAGATAGCCCACTGCCCTGGGAGGGTCCTTTATGGTCAGTAGGCGGTGGGAATGCTTGAAAGAGTGACTAGGGTCCCGGCCTGGAAGAGGCAGGTTTTAGGAAGACCACCCCACGCACAGTGACGGAGGAAGGCAAGGCAGGAAGCAGAGAGGCAAGGAGACACACTGGATGCAGAGATGTTGCTGGCAGAAAACAACAGGCAAGATAGAGCCAGAGAGGCTGTGACACCTCAGATGCCACCTCTGGTCATAGAGGTGTAAGCACCGAAGCTGCACAGGGAGGATCTTGCAGAGGATTCTCTGGGCCGGGAGGGCAGCACTAAGGGACTGGCTTCTCCTCTCCGCACCTGCGTCCTGGGCCCTGCAGGGCCAGGGTTACCCAAGGCCCTCCCAGACGGTCATACCAGCCTTCAGCTGTGCCAGGTGAGCACAGAGGACAATCAGGGGGCCGTGGGAGCAGGCAAAAGCACATTTTTTGTCCTGTTGGGACTAGAATAATTGGGGCATTAACGGAAATGCATTTCTCACCTATTTTCTGTCTGATTGAAACGTACTTTGCAGTCATTTAGAGCCCTCACACCTCCCATAATCAGAGCTCACTCACTCAGCCAGACGCAGGAAACTGGGTCATCATGTGGCTCCTGAGCCTCCCAGGGTTCAGGAGGAGCACAGGACACAGGATCAGCCTTGCCTCGCACCCAAGCTCCTTCCCTGCCCAGCCCCTTCATCAGAGAGCTTGCTGAACTCGGAGGATTCCTCTGCCATCCCTTGATCACCCATGTTCCTCACGTCTCCCTTTCTAAATTCCCCTCCCTGCCCCATCTTGGAAAAGCCCCTGGTGCTCTGGTTATTTTTCATGGAGAACGGGTCCCTTTTGGAACTGGCTCACTTGCTCAGTATATATGAGAGCCTGGGTTCCATCCCCAGCACCCCCAAAAAAGTATGAGGAAGGAGGGAGAAATGTGTATCTCTGACGACACAAAGGGCGGCATCTGGCTAGTGTCCACTCCAGGCCTGCGCTCTTGGGTGGCCTCCTTAGTGTGACTCCGCTTCATGAGATTTAAGTGTAAAAGGTCAGGGTCTGGAAGAGGGATCTGTTTTCCTGCTTGCCTTTGTTCACCTTCTCTCCTCCTTGGGAAATCTATTGTAAATAAAACGCGTATAAGTCACATGCATTAACAACTTAAAGGATTGTTTAAAAATGGGAACCTGGGAGTCGGGGGGAATGCACACACCTGTCATCTCAGCACTATAGAAGGCTGAGGCAGGAGGATCTCAAGTTTAAATTTAACCTGGGAAACTTCGCAACTTAGTGAGATGCTGTCTCAAAATAAAAAAGGGCTGGGGATGTAACTCAGTGCAAAAGTTCTGGGTTCAACTCTCAGAACCATAATTTTAAAAAAAGGGAAGGAAAGGAGGAGAAAAGAGGAAAAGGAAAAGAAAAGAAAAAAAGAAAAACCCAGGGCTGGGGATGTAGCAGTTTCTATTTTGATAAATATGTCTGTCTTCACAGCTGTAAAGTCCAGTGGACTCTGTAACAAACCGCTGGTCCAAAGCTTCTGCCCTCTCCTATCTGCTCCCACGTTCCCCTCCTCCATGTCTAGGGGCTTCCAGGGCTGGGATGGAGAACACGGAACTGGGGGAGGCGTAAAGGTTGTCCTGCTGAACAAGTGCTGTGTGTGGGACTGGCTGGCTGGGCGAGCACTGGCCACCACACCTCCCTCCCCACGGGGTGGCCCTTTCATGGATGTGCTTTGGGGACCTCCTCCCCACCCATGCACCCATGTGGAGTGCTCCAGCAGAGGCTTTCTGTGGGGTGCATGGAGCTGAAGGGCTCTGTCACCCGGCTACGCAGAGTACAGTAATCCCCAGAGAGCCGCCTTGCCGGGGTCTCGCTCATCAGCAGCAGGTCCAGTTAAGCTCATGGCTGCAAGTAACAAAAATCACGCTGCCTTTTGCAGGCAGAAAAGGGCTTGTGACTAGAATCGGTGTTTACAGCAGTGTCTTGGAAGGGCTCTGCTCCACCTGTCACTGCATGTACTCTGGTGCTCTACCTTTCCATCAGCAGGGCAGGGCTTCCAGACAGCGTGTGGCAGTAGCTGACCTTCAGACCTCTGTGTCTCTTTGATCCAGGGATGGGGAGGCTGCCAAGGCCACTGCTCATGGGAAAAATTCCCAGTCCATGGGAAAGGGTTGGGACAGAGTGGAAGTGGTCTCTCCTTTCTTCCAAGCATGTGGAAGCGACTGGTATGATATCACGTACAGCCTTCCCTAGTGGACTGAGGGTGCCCTGAGTAGCAGGTGGGAAGGATGGGCCACAGGGGCAAGAGCTGAGGTGGAGGGGAGGGATCAGCCACAGAATGCATCTGCTTATCATCAAAGTTTGGGTTCTCCCAGGAGCAAACGCTGAGACAGGTCTGTGTCCAAGATAGGAAGTGGCCCTCCCTCTAAAATGCATCCCAGTCTGACTCCTCAACATTGCTGCTGCCACCACCCTGGGCTTCCCTGACCCTTTGCCGTGGGCTCCTCACTGGCATCCCTGTTTCCTGCCACCCTTCCTTCGTGGCCAGCTCATATCTTCCCCAGCAAATCACAAATCAGACCATAACATTCATTTATTAGCTTCCTCATTTGCGCTCAGTCTCAGAGGCTCTACATTGTAACTCTGTGATAGCAGGAACCCGCACCTGGAGCCCAGAAAAGTGCAGGAGTAGATTTCTGAGCATGTGCTGAGGGCCTCATTGAACAGCAGATTCGAAGCCAGGGCTGAGGTCATGCAGGGCACCCCTCACCCTTCCATAATGCAGAGGTGCAAAGTCCCAGCCCCAGAATCATCCACATTCCAGAAAATTCCACAGGAATGTTGGAGAACACTGTAAAATATGACTTTGAAGATCTTTTCCAAGAAAGGTCCACACAATAAGTGGACATACTAGGTTATCAAGAAGATCAGTACCAAAATGACACATGGCATACAGCCTACTGTTGTGAGCGCTGGCACTCAAAACATTAGCCAGTGGCTTGATTCTGAAACAATGTGACAAAGGAGTTTAGAAATAAAATAGGTGGGAATATCCTTTTTAAAATGTAGATACTTAATAAATATTTATTGAATAAACCAACCATTTGTGGTATATAAAGAAGAAAAATCACCTGAAATGATACTCTATACTGTAAAATATGCCAGACTGGAAGGTTCAAGGACCAGTATTCTGCAAAAGGGTCACTGAGGAGCCCTAGCATTCCAGCCTCCTCTGCTGGCTTAGCTGTGTGTTCCTCTGGCTCCAGATCACACAAATATTTTCTTCACTTTCTTATTTTGAATGTATTTTTAAGAGATGTTCCAAATCCATTATGAGGCAGGAAACAAACAGAAAGGAAGACAGACAGATGGAATCAGTAGATCCAGATCAAAGGGGATGCAGACAATGTGGAACTGAGAAGAGGCCAGGAGAGAGGCCACTTGCTCCAGTGACAGGCCCAGGACTACTGTCCTAGCTCCACCCCTCAAATCCAGGAGGGAGACTACAAGGTGCTTCCCTGGAAATTTGGGAAAGTTCTTCCTCTCCCAGCTCTTCAGATTAGGAGACATTTGTTGGGGAACAGCCTGGCCATCCAGAGGCCACAGATTCCAATACCTCAGTGGTGGCTGTGTCACCTCCCACTGCCTGGAGGATTGCTAACAAGTAGTAAGCACCCAGGACTCAGGGTTTCCAGATGGGCTCAAAGGGCCTGCCGTGAGTCTCTACTGGATGGTCACTGAGGCTCCCGAGTACACCTAATCCACTGTCACCGTGCACTCATGACACGGGCACGTGGGCAGCTCCTTTCTGCAACAGCAGCTGGTCAAAACCGCACTCCATGGCCAACCATCTGCCACTTGTCCTTCCTGGCCAGAGATGTGCAGGTGTCTCTAGGCAGCTCTTATCCTCAGAGGATCTCACGCTACTCCACTGGCTGGGATCTGGGGCTCAGATGGGGATTTTCCAGCCTTTCCACATGAATGGCCTCCTGTGTGCAGTGGGCCCCAGGTGTGCCACCTGCGCTCCTCCACCCCACACCTTCCCCAGACAGGAGCCCTTACTGCGTACAGGGCGAGTGGTGGCTGAGCTGCAGACACTGCCATCTGAGTGGGAATTCTGGCTCCAGCTTTGTGACCCCCCAGAGTCATTTTTTGTCTCTCTGTGCTTTAGTTCCACATCTGTAAAATGGAAACAGTCAGAGTAGGGAGTCTTGAGAGCTGTTAGTACAAGTAACTGACTCAAGCACCCAAAAACATTTGCTGTTTTAGCTCCCTTGTGGGCTTGGAAACCCAAGCAGCCCTGGAGCTCCCTGGCCTCCACCAAGGCTCCATCTCTGTCTGTGTGCATTCTGACAGGACTGCCAAAAGAGCAGCTTTGCTAAGCCTCCTCTGAAAGTGCCCTGAACTCCACAAGGAGACCATATGTATCCCCAGGAAGCACTGCAGATGAAAGGCCTGCACCTGCTTTGGACCTTCAGGGACCCCCCTCACCTCTGTTCGCTTTGCTGGTTTCCCACTCTATAAATGACATGCATTTTGCTGAACCATCATCCCTCTGACACTTGGATCTCAATAATTTACGCTGTTTCCAGATATGAATTGTAAAATTCCCCTTTGATACTAAAATACAGTATTGCTATCCGGGCCACTGGCTTGGTGAGGGAGCCGCCCCTCTTGTGCAGCTGGTCAGGTGGGTGTGGGCAGAGCATCTACAGTGACACCCTGAGTGAGGCTTGTCTTTGGACCTGATAGAACCCATACAGTGCAGAACCCCACAAACCCTGAAGATTCAAATGCTAACAGTCATTCAGAGAATGTGGAAAGTAGAACCATGGAAATGAGCTCACTGTAAAGTCATTGCCAGGCAGGCCTTGAACTTGTGACCACTGGGAGGCTCTCACTCAGAGACCTCTGCTCTCTCTGCCATCCTGTCCCCGGGAAGGCTGCCTTCAGCACTGTGTCAGGTCCAGCCCTCCTTTGTTTGTGGGTAAGGTGGGGAAGGGTGCTCTTCCTCTGACCCACCCACCCCAACCAGGCCTCCCGCTGCCCTGCAGCTCACACAGTATCCAACAGGCACACGCACACACACACAAGTGCTTGCAGGCTAAGGCAGGCCCGTCTTGCCAGCACAGTGGGAGAACACAGAGGTGGTGGCTTTCTATTTTCACTTCTGTCAATGAGCAGCAGCTGGAAAGGGAGCCAGCAGCAAGGGTCAGCCTCTCCCTTGTCTCTCCAGAAATGGGAAAAGCTCGTCTTTTCTCATTGCCAGCAGGATGACTCGAACACGCCAGTTTAACTCTTCCAACACCCCTTGTGCCCACCCAGATCCAGTGAGAAACTGTGCACCCTCTGGGGAGAGGCCACCACGGCTGGTTGGGCAGGTGTTTCTACCATGCATACTGAGCACTGGCTGCAGGTCAGGCCCAAGCCAGATGTGCAGTCTCTTATTGGATCCTCAACATGACTCTGAAAAGTCAATGGTATTAGGCTGACTTATAGATGTGGAAACTGAGGCTGGGAGGTGACACGACAGGACCAGATAGCTGAGTAAACAAGGAGTCTGAATTCTAGAGACCAAGCTCTTAGCCACTCACTAGAGCTGATGGTCTCCATCCCCTTCCTTGCTCCTGCTTCGCCAGGCAGTCCGGTCACCCAGCTCCTGTGCCTCAAAGTTGCTTGGGGCCTTCACCTCCTTCGCTGCCTAGCCTGGCCCCACGGCAACATGTGCTCCAGAGCACAGCTCAGCACGGGAATCAGGCAGGACTGGATTCGCACCCCGCCTTTCTGTTCAGTGTATGAACGGGGGCCAGATTCTAATGTGAAGCAGGAATGCTGTTCCCTCCTCCCATTCACCCCTGAGACTGACAACCCCAGGACAGGTGTCCAGGGACGCCTCAAAGCTATGTGGCCTTCCCATTGGCACTCTAAGGCCTACAAATATCTCCTACCCTTTCCCTCCTCATCTCTGAATCAGAAATGCAGTCGTATCTGCTTCATGGGATTGTAGTGGAGTTAAAAAATATAAAAATTGGCAAGCACCAGTAACTGCGAGTGAAACAGCGATTGTAGCTATTTTCTTCTCCTCCATTTTCTTTTTCCTCCTCTTTCTGTTTTTGATTTTTGAGACAGGGTCTTTCTGTGTGGCCCATGTATCCCACACTAGCCACATAGTGATCCTCCTGCCTCAGTCTCCCAGGTGTCGGGTTACAGGCATGCATCATGCCACCCATGACACTTTCTTACTGTTAAAATTAATTTTGTTCGTACACTTCTGGCCCACATAATGATCACATTTATCATTTATCATAGAGAATTTGTGCCTGCACATAATATATCTAAATTCTTCCCCCTCTCCCATTTTCTTAATCAAAACACTTACCTAGGCCACTCTCCACTAGACATTAGCTGCGTATTACCTCTGGCTGCTCCTCCTCCTCCTCCTCCTCCTCCTCCTCCTCCTCCTCCTCCTCCTCCTCCTCCTCCTCCTTTCACAGTAGTGGGGATGGAAACCAGGCCCCACATATGGCAAGAAATTTTTTCACTGCTGCACCATACCCAGCCCTTGGCACCCCAATATTTACCTTCAGTGTAGACCTCTGGCTTTCCAGATTTACCACTGTGGGCGTCCCTTCTGGGTGCCTCATGAGCTTGGCCAGGCAAGGGTGCAGCACCTCTTCCCATCCTGGCTTCCCAGTCTTGGTCAGGCCCCACCTTCCCCACTTGCCTACCTATTCTTGACTGCATCCTTTCCCCATTCTCCTGTGCAATTGGCCCCTTCTCCATGGCTCTCCATCCCCCATCCTCCCCATCTCTGCCCTGCCATTGCCAGCTCCACTCCACACCTCTCCATCTCCCTGGGGCTACAGGGCACTGCAGCCTGGCCTGGTTAGAGAGACTGAGGCTCCAGGTCGGGCCAAACCACATGCAGGTGCCCAGCACCAAGACCACCCTAGGTGGTACCGTAGGAGGGAAACCATGGGCTGTCAGTCAGCCAGGCTCTTGGCCAGCCCAGTTATCCAACAACAGCTGTCACAGACTGAAGGACGCTGAATCTGTTTCAGCCTTATGCATATCAGAGTCCAGCCCCAAGTTCTAAGGAATTGGTGGTTTGGGAGAAGCAGGACACAGTGGGCAGGAAGGTGCCAAGAGCCTGGAAGTTTCCATTACCCTTTTGGGGGTCCTACCCCCTAAGGAGTGGAAGAAAAGTTCAGGAGCCTCCTGGACCAGGATCATCGCCCTCCTGCACTGCTGCAAGGGCTTCATTTCTGAACCTCCCTGCTTCTGGACTGCCGGCTCCCAACAAATCCGCTCTGCAGCAGGAGTAATGTGAGAACACAAATCTCACAAATGACCTTGCAGATTAAACTCTTCAAGGGCCCTCTAAGAGCAAATCTCCGCAGGGACAAGGCTCTCCAGTTACTCCCCGCTGCCTTCTGGCCACCCTCACGTGGGCATGAGCCACAGATGACTTGCTGCTGGGGCTCACACATGCCAGCTCTTCCCACTGTGTGCCTCTGTACCCAGCCACCTCAGCTGGATTTCATTCCAGGCTCCTCCTTTTCTCTTTTATCACCAGGCTAACTCCTCTCATCTGACAGAATTTCCAACACAGGTGACATCTTTCTAGAAGCTCCCCCAAAGTCTCGGTGCCTCCTACGGTCACTGGTCACATGATCTCAGCCCCTTTCCCCCCAATCCCAAGTCTACTTACTTGCCCGTCTCCCCATCTTGTCCATAAACTTGGAAACATGAGGATCACACCTTATTTATCTTTTAAAGCCAGTGCCTAGCTCAGGATCAGATACTCAGTAGCAGTTTGGTGAATATGTGTGAGGTAAGCACAGGAGTGAATCCCAGGTGACCCTTGCAGAGGCAGCCAGGCTTCGTGGCCACTGAGGAGCAAGGGGTTAGCACAAGTGAGGCTGATAAATGGGGCTGGGGGAGTAAGCATGCTGAGGGACTCCGGCTGGCATATGGGACAGGGGCCTCTTGATGGCAACATGAAAAAGCAGGATATCCCACAAAACCTCAAGCCTTCAAAAGCACTAGGTTTGCCAAAGGAAGCATACCAATGAGCAGCCCCTCCAGTCACAGCCTCCAGGGCACAACCTGGGCCAGAACCCCCTGGAAGTCTTGGAGCAGCCATCCTGTGACCTTGGGTAATGGTAAATTCAGATGCAGAGTGGTGGCTACTGCTCAGCATCTGTCTCCTCACTGCCCTGTCAAAGCCCTAGAAACTAAAAGCAATTAGTGGGCCCCAAAATGAGCTCCTGCCTTGCTCTGGCAGAGGCAATATTCTTGATGTCCCCAGTCTGTCCTGGCAAAAAGGCTTACCAACCAGGGCAAGATCATTTGTTCTCTCTTCCCTAAGCCTTCTATCGCTAAAGCTATACTTTAGAATCCCAGTGGCTTTTCCCACACCCTGTTGTTCTGTCTGCATTATAACTAGTGCTATTGTTTCTGTTCTAATCATGAACATGAAGCAGAGACATAGTGAAACACCTGAACCACTGGTAGGTCATTCAAAGGCCAAGAGGCTTAGCACCGTAGCTGGCAGGAACAACAGGTTCAGATCACTCACATTCTCTGGAAAATTAGCCCCAGACTCAAGGCCCCGCTGCCCCCACCCCAAGCTGCGACAGCAGGTGGATGGCCATAGAGAGAAGGGGCCTTAGAGCAATCAGATGTGAGGGCTACATGTTGCTAGGGAGCAACCGGCAACAGCTGGCTGAGAAATCAGTCGTGTCCTTGGGAAAGCATGTTCCTGGCCACTAATTAAATGCTGCTGTCACGTCTCGTCCTTCAGGGAGCTGTAGAAATGTGCTGAATTAATGCAGCTGGGAGCAACCAGGTTCGCAGGCCAGCTAAGCCTCCTTGCGACTCTGCAAAGGGAAGGCTCAGAGGGCTGGAATTAAGTTGTAAAGGCCCTAGAAGGCTGTGCGGCAGAGAAAATCCAGGCTTCAGAACACTTAACTTTTCAAGTAGCCCGGCGTGTCTGCCTAACACCGCCTTTGCTGCCGCAGGTGAATTCACTGGTTAAATATTTTTTTTAAATCACATTAAATTTCACATCTGGGTACAAATCCAACACAACTGAAGCCGGAGTCCAGGAGATATTTGCACACCAGAGGTTCACAGTAGCAGCACCATTCACGATAGCTAAGAGGCGGCACTGTTCATCAGTGAATGGGAAAACATGATTTATACACAGGATGAAATTCAGCCTTAAAAAGGAAGACAATTCTGACACAATCTCCAACATAAATGAACCCTAAAGACATTACACTAAATGAAATAAGTCAATCACAAGAGGACAAATACTATAGGATTCTACTTATGTACAATGTAGAGGAAGCAAATTCAGAGATGGAAAATAGAACGCTGGTCTCCAGGAACTGGGCAAGAGTGGCACAGGAGTGAGGAATTTCAGTTTTGCAAGATGAAAAAGTTCCAGGGGCGAGGGGTGTGGATCACACAGCTCTAGTGGCAGACCATGTACTTACCCCCAGCCCCCAAAACCAAGAAAAAAGGTTCTAGAGATTGGTGGTATAATAATGTGAATATACTTCACACTGCTGAACTGTAGACTACACTTAGATAAATGCTAAATTCAGTAAGTTTCACACACACACACACATATATGTATATGTAGATATATGGAACCCAGGGCCTTATGCACGCTAGGTAAGCCCTCTACCAGTAAGCTAAATCCTCAGCCCTATAATTTAAAAAAATTTAACTCTAAAAGTCTTTTTAATACACAGTCATAGTGAACAAATTACAAAGATAAAAATGAACTAAGTAGTAAATGTCTACATTCCCTTATTTCCAGGCCCATTTTCCAGAGCCAGCCACATTACAGAGCCTCCTAGATCCTTCCTGTGACTCAGTGAGCACAAATCTATTTGCATCCATGTTGACCCCAACTTCAGTAAAGTGTAGTTTGTTTTTTACTTCTTACAAAACAATCACACTAAATAGTTCTTCAATTAACACATCTCCGACAGCTTTCCAAGTAAATATGTACAGATTTGCCTCATTATCTTTTACAGCTGTATCAGGCCCCATTTTATGGCTGTTTCATGATTTGTTTAGCCTGTCTTCTCTTGATGCACATTTAATAGTCTCCAATAAAAATGTTGCAATGAACATACATCTTGTTCCCTTTCGCAAATATTTCTGCTTTGATACATGTTTAGGGCTAGATTCTAATTCCATTAAACATTATATCCATTTATTATCATTCTGCTTTTTTGTCTTTAAACAATCAGAGTCAACATATTCCTGTACCAACAGTGAGTGAGAGTATCCTACACATTTACCACCATCGGGTCAGCAAACATTTTTAATCTTTGATAATCTGAAGGGTGAGAAATAAATACTAGCAAAATCTTTCATATAATTGTTGGCCATATGAGTTGTACTTTTTTTCTTTAAACACCACACTCACCATATTCTTTATTTTTTTTTTCTTTTAGATGGCTCATATTTTATATTTTTATAAAATGTTTTTAAATAAGGAAATCGACCCTTTGATAAAGGTGTCGGCATTTGACATTTGACTGTTTGGGCATGTTTTGCCATGCATAGTTTTTCATTTGTAGGTATTCTTTTTGTGGGATGTTTCCCCCTGCCTTTCTTAGAAGGGGCTTCCTCACACAAACAGTAACCTCAAAGACAGCGGCACTGCAGCTATCACAGGACCGCTTTGTGTCCCTCCTCCTTTTCTGAACATGGCCCTTGCTGCTTCTCCCCCAGTCCTCACCGGGAGACCCATGGAAATGTTCCTGGATTCCACTCCAGCTCCTCCACTCTGCCTTTTTACGAAACTCTACATTATTTTAACACAACTTTCCTCGGCCTTCTAAAACGCATCCCTGCCTCCACAACAAAGAAATCTGATGTCCCTCCAGATTTTGAGGGGATGGGTCCCAAGTATGAATCATTATTCTTCTCTATGACCTCGATGAACATTTTTTCTCAAATTCTGAAGTTTGTAACATAAACTAATACATGTTTCATCTCCTCAAAGCTGTCCCAATAATTTATTTTTCAAAGAAACCCCTCTCCAAGTCCTCATGTGCCTATGTCAGACTCACCTCTACCAATCCTGAGTTCAAAGTAATTTAGATAAATTTTATTTTTTTAAAGAAAGTATCCCAAAGGACATTTTAAAATAAAAAGAACTGACTCTAAGAGAAAACCACCTCAGTTTATTTTGAGTAATACATTCCTCCTGGAGGGTAGATTTCAAACCCAACAAAACTTTGAGAGTAGAGTAAGAATGTGAGATGAAAATTACCTTTCATTTGCTTCTTTGTGCCTATTTGGAATATTCCCATTCTTCAAATTTTCTTTCTTTTCTAAGAAATACAGGCCCCTCTCTATTCTTTTAAAAATTAATTAGAACTAAGTGGCAGTTTCTTCTTGTAATCCTGAGGAGATAATTAATAAGTTTAGGAGAGAAACAGGATTTGGAGACCAGTTCTCTGGCCTCAGGAAGCACAAGCACCAGGACAGAGGGGCCCCCATTGCCTGGGGCCTGTGACCCACTTTTGCTCTCCAGAGTTGATACATGCTGTGGCCAGGCTGCCCTCCCACCGCGGGCACTGCAAATGCAGGAGACCAAACCCCAGCATCAAATTCTTGAGGAGACAGCAGCACGTGGACCAGCAGTGGGCTTCCACACAAAAGCACTTTGACACTCAGCTCTTTATGGCCAACTCCCCACACAGAGATTGCTTTCCTGGTTTCGCTATTGATCTGAAACAGGTGAGCCAAAGAGAGGCAAGGGCCTCTTCCTTTGAAAAAGACAGTGATAGATATTGGGAGGTATGGTTAGATTAGTAACCCAAGGGGCTATATTCACTCATTCATTCATTCATTCATTCATTCACTCATTCATTCATTCATTCATTCATTCATGTTGTTATTTATTTAGTAGAGATTGAACCCAGAAGCTTGGCATGGGGCTGTATCACCACCACTTTTTTACTTTGTATTTTTGAGACAGAGTATTGCTAAACCGTTAAGTTCTCCAGCTTGGCCTGGAATTTTTTATCTTCTCTGCCTCAGCCTCTCAGGATTACAAGTATTTGCTACTGCATCTGGTTATTTACGCATTCTTATATTCCTAGTCCTGGGACTTAGCAGATCTTCAATAAATGTTTAACACAGAAATGAACAAATAAAGCAGCATATTAGTGTTCGGGAGGATGAGAAAGCATGTGAAATATATTATCACTGTTTAATAAAGGATACCATTGTTGGGTCATTCCCTATAAGGAGACAGATAAATATATAAGCACAAAAATATTAAGTAATCAACTATTGTTTTTGATAGTCAAGAATATGTCAGCTTAGGCCTATATAAATTCAAAATGTAAATGAATTCTGACACAGGCTGTACTAATGTCTACTTGCCATTAACTAGTAATGCCACTTTGATCAAATTGTTTAATCTCACTGAGGTCAGTTTTCTTATCGACAAAACAAAGGTAATCCTGCACTTTTCAAACAGAAGATGCCATATGACAAAATTCATACCACTATTTATGTGGGCAAACACAAATCGCCTCCAAAACACAAGAGCTGAAAACATGTACCACCTCACACAAATTCTCAGAGTCCTCAATCCAGAAGTGGCTGAGCAGGATGGCTCTGGCCCACCAGGGGCAGTGTCAGTGTTTGTTAATTCCTAGGGATAAAAACAAAACAAACAAACAAAAAAACCTTTCCACACACATCAACAAGACTTTCATAGAA